AAATTCACTAAAGAAAAAAGAGAAAGGATACAAATAAACAAAGTCAGGGATAAAAGAGGGGAAATTATGACAGACACTGCAGAAATACAAAAGATCATACAAGAATACTATAAAAAAGTATACAACACAAAATTTAATAACCTAGAAGAAATGGACCAGAACTTAGAAAAATACAACCTTCCTAGACTGAATCAAGAACTCAAAAATCTAAATAGCCCAATCAGCAGTATGGAAATTGAAACAATTATCAAAAACCTACCAAAAAGTCATCAGCAAAGACCTTGAGGGGGCTACACTTACAAAAAGACTGTCAGTTCCAGCTGCACTTCTCTAACTGTGTGCGGCACCAGCTGATGAGAACAGTTTCTGGTACAAAGAACTTGCATAGCTGAGTCCACCATGGGTGGTTTAGAGACACTGGAGTGTGTAATAGGAGGCTGCTACAGCCACTATAATAAAGGGGTGTTGGGAGGAGACGATAAGGGAGTGACTGGTACTTGGACAACTTTCTCAGTAATTTGTTTTCCCACCCAATGTCAGTATATATTTAAGTATTGTGTGAAAGTGAGCAAGCAGATCTCATAAATATGCGACAGCTGTGGACGATAGAATGTGCCCATGACAGGTTCTGCCAACTGCTTCTGTCACCCTCTCAGCTCAGATGCCTGGTGTTGACTTACAGATTGTTCCAGAGTGGGCTGTGCGTGGATTTCCAAAGATGTTTCCAAGGAAGCAGGCACAAGTAGGCTTGGGCTGGGAAACAAAGAGCTGGAAATGGGCTATGGAGGCGATGAAAAGAATGATGTTAATGCCCATGACTGAGGATGTCCTCAAGCAGACCCCTACTTGGTATACATCTTTATTTCTCAGAACCATGGCACATCCAGAGATCTGTCCAAGGAGCCTGATTTAAACTGCAGGACAGATTCTGGGAGCCCTCCCACTTCACTCCTAGTTACGTGCGTGAGATGAGCGCCTTGCAACCCTAGAGGGTGTTAATTAAGACAGGGCTGCAAGAAAGGCCTGGTAAGGACTAAATTCTTCCTTGCAGACCTTCAATTCTTTCCAAGAGCGATCATGCAGTTGTGGAAACAAGTGTTAAATACATAAAAATCAAGATTTGGGAGAGCTTAACATTCTCCCGGCATATGAAAGTGTTATTGATTTCCATTAATTAATGATATATATTTATAAATTAAGTGTACTTGTGAGTTTTCACAAATGTATAGAAATATTGCCATCAAAAGATGGAAAATATGCCATCACCCCAAGAGTACACTCTGTGGTGCCCATTTGAATGTAATCCCTCCATAATGTTACTCGACTCTAAAAAAAACCCATGAGATTTAATTTCCTTTTCTCTTTAATAAAATATGAAGCTTTTTTTTTGGTGTATCTTCCAGCTTTCCAGTAAATGTGCTGGAGTCTAAGCATATGGAAATGAATCCTGTGAACAGTATAAAGAGCTGTGGGACTGTGTGGATCATTGAAACAAGAGGCTTCCAGCCACTCATGTAAGAAAAATACATTAAAAATTTCCATCAGTTTCATTAAACTCAATTAGGATATTACTCAAAATAATACCCTCTCTCTGCAACTCACCTCTGTTATCCCTTGGGTGACTGCCTTTACACATCCATATCTGTTTGTGATGTTTCCACTGGGGAATCACAGTGGACCTGCACAGGTATCATCCTGCACATAAAGTAAACTCAGGATGGGCTTGAATGGTGCTGATGAGTGTAACTCTTTCTCTGATTGGGAGGACTCCATGGTGCAGTGGGATAGACATGTGTCACTCTGTGTACAGCAGCATTATGGAAATGCCAAATACTGTAACATTTTAAATACTTAAGGATAAGTGAAAATCCTCTCAGATGACATTAAACAGAAAGACGCCACAAATATCTGTGGCCAAAATCAATAGGATATCTCAAGTTCCAGAAAACAATGTCCAAACTCATGAACACAGGTTATATACAAAATATATGTAAATTGCATAAATAAAAATGAACCATATGCCTGTATCTTTATCTCTCTGGTGACTCTTTACTGTTAATCAACAAAAGCAGGACACTCCGTATTGCCGTCCTCTAATTCCACAACCAAGCAGTTACTGAAACAGTAGTTAAGATGCACTACGCGCTCAAAATACAAGTGATCAGTAATGACATCTTCACTCACTGAGGCTCCTACCATCACAGGAGAAAAAGAAAAACACACCTAGCCTCCCTATTGTATTGCATCAGTTTTTACTTCTCTTCAAAGCCCTTATTTCTAACCTACAAAGTTTGCCATTTGTTAACCATCTCTCCTTTCCCACAAAAATATAAGTACCAGGACTGCAAGAAAAAGTTTATCTCATGTCACTGTACCCAAATCCTACAGTGCCTTGATTGTGCTGAATCGGGTACGATGACCCTGAAGTGCCTGGTAATGAGGGATTTGGAAACATTAACATCAAGAGTGTAATCTTGAGCAAGAAAGGGTCGACTGGACCTGTGGTTCCGTCTTTTCTCCTTGCTGGGTTTGTGTGCTCTCACAATTTACCTAAACGGAGAGACCTCAGTTGAGTCAGAAAGGTGCTATTAAAAATATCAGGCAATGAATTTCTACATCTTAACTGAGGTACTTTATGGTGAACAGTGTAATACACTGCAGGAAACTGATCAGTGTTCAGATAATAGGTACTAACAGCATAAGCCATTTTAGAGGACTGGGAGCTGACCTGCAATCATGGCAAGGCCGAGTCTTACCCTTTGAAGAGAAAGAGGTCACATAAGTCCTTCATCAAAGGCAGTCAGTGATCATGATGCACCAAGACAAAAAGAAATATGTTTTGTAACCGTGTCTCGAAAAATGGTAAAAGTGATTATTCTAAATCATAAAAATGACCAACTTATATGACTGACTGGGGCTTCTTACACATTACGTTTAGTGCCACTACATTGTTTTTGCCTTCTAAAAAACAAGGTTTATGATTACCAATAAAATAACAATAAGTTTAATTTCTCATGACGTTTAATATACAAAAACTTCTTGGTGCCTTCAATAGGGATCAAATCATCTAATCTAACAAAAGCTAAATCCTATGAAGGTCCTGAGCAACCTTTTATGTTACCACCCCACAATTATGTGTACTTTATGGTCATTCTTCTTATTATAATTCATTACACCCCTCTTTTTGATTTCAAGCAAGCTCCTGTGGGTCACTGGCAAGAAGACACTGAAAAGAAAACACGATTTAAGGTTCTGTTATTAAGACTGAATGACAATTAGTGTCATATAGTGATAAATAGTAATTATAAAAATAGAACATAAAATATGCCTAAGGAATATTTTATCATAAAATTAGCCCATAAAGCATAATGATTAAATAGAGATTTGGAAAGTTTATTTGAAAGCCCATAACCATAATGGGACATTTTAACATATCCTCTCAGGATATGAAAAACACAATATTTAGTAGCACATGACAGCTGAGAAAATCGTTAATATTTTTATGAAACACCTACAGACGTGTTCATTTTACCAAAAAATGCACATACTTTTTAATCATATGTAATCAATCACAATTGAAAACATATTGAGGGGTTATGTTCAGCTTCAACCACAGTCTTTCTGCAGGAGGAAGGTGCTTATTCCCACATGGAAGGACCAGGTCAAGGCAGCCACTGCACATGCAGCAAAGAAACAAACACCCATGGTCTTTGTGGATGGCCCCAAGGTAGATGTCATGGACAATCGGGAAAACATGCTCACTGGACTGTTAACAGCATAAGGTGTTTCCTAAACAAGGGAGAACTTATACGGATATAATCCAGAGAAGAGGGGAATAAACATAAGCATAAAAGTCTAAATCAGTTTCCTGATGGACACAAAAGGGCTTAGAGAAAACTCCAAACTCTGATGATCTTTGATGTGGATCTTGTGAAGATATCCATGGAAACCTGCACCTCTCAGAAAATGCAAATCAAACAGTTGGTGGTGGTTTTGAGGACAGTCTTGATTGGAAGGTCAAGGAATCTGGGTAATGGTCTGGAAGATGTTGTCCTTAAAGCTCCTATGTATCTGTCTGTCTGCCTAAAGATTCTGAAATCTAACTAATGCGTTCTTTGTTTTTGCCCTCCAAATCTCACACAAGTGAAGCCATTAATGAATTCTAACATGGCACCATAAAGGAGATGGATTCTAAAAATTCAAGTTCCTAAGATTACATACGAGAGGGAAAATTTCCAGCTCTGTTATTTTGTTGCCCTATCACAGGTTCCTCTTCGTAATTCAAAGTCTATTCACCAAATACCAGTCCGAAGGAAGAAAAGCAGTCTCATTATAAAAATAACTCAAACTATATTTTTTCATAACTTTGCCACACATAAAATTTATTCCAACTGTTCATTAGTATGGAAAATGGAATACAGTTGCAAAACCCATCTCCCCAAGAAAGGAGCGTAGAATATACATAATGGACTAGGGGTATAAAGGCCACTAGGAAAATTCAAATATCAAAGCATCCTTCTCAACCCTAACACAGAACAAATAAAACATTAATAAAAAAATTTAACCTAACTATATTTAATAAATATACTTCAATTCACCCATGGATCTAACAGGCTTCAAAATGGTGAGAAAAAATATTAAATGTTTAAGGAAAAACTGCTACCTATTAATCTTATGTGCTAACATTGAAAGACAACCCTCAGAATTATTGTACATGAGTATTCATTTCTGAAATTAGGAGAAATTCATAAATGATGCACTTTAAAAAATGTTCAATAAACAACATATTTACAACTTTAATAAGAACTCTTTCTGTTTAATAAGAAAACTTTCTGAAGTTTTCAGGCACATTATACCTGAATTAATTTCTATCAAGCTTTCTCATGTTACTTACATTTCTCTTTCTTTTTCATGGGAGTTTTCACATGTAAGAATGTGGATCAATTCAAGTGTTTCCCATGCTGTTTACATTCAAGAGTTTTTGTCCAGTGAATCCTTTCATCCTTGTTAAAGGACCTGGAATACTGAAGCCTTTCCCATATTCTGCATTTTTATATGGTTTCTCTCCAGTGTGCATGGTCACATGTCTTCTAAAGACTGTGACAAATGGTTTTCTACATTCCTTACATTCATGGGGTTTCTCTCTGGTGTGAGTTCTTTCGTGTTTGTAAGGAACTGTGATCTCTGTAGTCTTTACCACATTGTTTATATTCGAAGGGTCTCTCCAGTGAGATTTCTTTCATGTTTTTGAAGATCACTGGGATACCCAACTGCTTTACTGTATTCTTTAATATTCAGAGGGTTTCTTTGCAATGTGATTTATTTCAACTTTTTAAAGATAATCCAGACAACTGAATGCTGTGCTATATTTTTTTGCACGATTTCTTTCCAGGGTGCTTTCTGTCATATGTTTGAAAACTTGATAATACCTGAAGGCTTCTCCAAATTATTTGCATTCATAGTATTTTTCTTTAGTGTGAGTCCTTTTGTGTCTCTGAAATGTACTGTTATGTCTGTAGGCTTTCCCACACTCCTTACATTCGTAGGGTTTCTCTCCAGTATGAGTTCTTTCATGTGTTTTTAAGGAACTGTGACCTCTATAGGCTTTACCGCATTGCTTACATTCATAGGGCTTCTCACCAGTGTGGGTTCTTTCATGTATTCGAAGATCACTGGGATACCTGAATGCTTTAGTACATATTTTACATTCATAGAGTGTCTCTGCAGTGTGAGTTCGTTTATGTATTTGGAACCACTTATGAAAACTGAAAGCTTTACCACATTGCTTACATTCATAAGGTTTCTCTCTAGTATGTGTTCTTTCATGTTTTTTAAGAGAACTGTGATCTCTGAAGGCTTTACCACATTGTTTACACTCACATGGCTTCTGTCCAGTATGTGTTCTTTCATGTTTTTGAAGATAACTGTGATCTCTGAAGGATTTACCACATTGCTTACATTCACAGGGTTTCTCTCCTGTGTGAGTTTTTTGGTGTATGTGTAAGGAACTATAATATTTGAAGAATTTACCACATATTTTACATTCATAGGGTTTCTCTCCATTATGAGTTCTTTTATGTTTTTGAAGAGAAGTGGGATAAGTGAATGCTTTGCTACATATTTTACACACATAGGGTTTTTCTCCAGTGTGAGTTTTTTGATGTACTTGAACATAACTAGAAGAACTGAAGGCTTTACCACATATTTTGCATTCATAGGGTTTCTCGCCAGTGTGAGTTCTTCTGTGTACTTGAAGTTGACTGGAAGAATTGAAAGCTTTACCACATATTTTACACACGTACGGTTTCTCCCCAGTATGAGTTCTTTTATGTTTTTGAAGAGAACTGGGATAAGTGAATGCTTTGCTACATATTTTACATTCGTAAGGTTTCTCTCCAGTATGAATTCTTTCATGTATTTTTAAGGAACTGTGATCTCTGTAGGCTTTATCACACTGTTTACACTCATAGGGTTTCTCTCCAGTGTGAATTCTTTCATGTATTTTTAAGGAACTGGGATCTCTGTAGGATTTACCACATTGTTTACACTCACAGGGTTTCTCTCCAGTGTGTGTTCTTTCATGTATTTTTAAGGAGCAGTCATCTTTGGAGGCCTTACTACATTGTTTACACTCATAGGGTTTCTCTCCAGGGTGAGTTAGTCCATGTAATCGAGGTGAACGTGAACAACTGAAAGCTTTCCCACATTCTTTATGTTTATAGGTTTTCTCCTCACTGAGATTTCTTTCACTTTTTCCGAAATAATGGAGATAACTGAAGGCTTTACTACATTCTTTACACTTATATGGCTTCTCTCCACATTTCCGAAACTCATATGCTTTGTGTCCAGTGTGACATCTGATGTGCCTACTAAGGGATGAAAGATGCCCAAAGACTTTTCCACATGCACCGTGTTCACATGGTGTTACTCTAGTAGTGTCCTTCTTCAGCCTGAAGTTTGAAATAAGACTGAAGTTTTCTCCACATTGACTAACCTCTTTACTTTCGCAAACTTTCTCTACCAGTTGACTTCTGTAAACAACAAGAAGCACAGATTTAATATTTATTAATGATTTCATATTCATTGTTTATTATGATTCATAGGAAAAGTATATATATTCTATCTTGTCTGAAATTAAATATACAGAATGCTTTCCAAGAAAACCTGACCCTTCTATTATCAAACTGTGATGTTTCTATACAGAGTTTGTTAATGCTGTTTCCAAGTGAATTGCTTTGCAAATACTAATGTGTATGGTATATTTAAAAAAGTATTTTTGGTAAAAGTTTTCTAAGAAGAAAGACATTTGAAGCAGGGTTTATTAGTTTTGTTTGTTTCTTTAAAAAATTTTATGACGTATTAGAATTCTCACATGAAACACTGCTTTCTATTGTGCAACTCACCTCAGTTTTCTCCGCTGGTTTTTGTACTGATCTCCAGTGTCATATTCTTCCCATTTTTTTCCTAAAATGCAGACCCAAAGAAATGATGCCAAAGAAATGGTATTATAGAAAAATTATCAGCTTCTAGATCCACCATGAGCTGTGACCATGCCCAGGTTATTTACCAGCATCCTCCCTTTCCACAGTCTACATCTTGGAACAATACTGGTGACCAAGAAACACTTGTTCTCTACCTGATAGCTGAAGGAATGTTGTCATCCTTACCTACTGAGGCCAGGTTGCAGAAGGTTTCCTGCATCACATCTCTGTAGAGTTTCTTCTGTGAAGGATCCAGTAAGGCCCACTCCTCTAGACTGAAGGTCACAGCCACATCCTCATAGGCCACTGAGTCCTATTCAACATCCCAAATATGTGTACAGTTGAATGAATGAGACTGACAGCACTGGACACCTAGACTTCATTTACAGGAAGGTTACGTATGATTCTCTCATCTCCAAACCTTTATTCTATGACTTGATCATCAGAAACATGCTCTCTGTCCACACTTACTTCCTCATAAACTTAATAGCATCATGAACACATGTAAAATGTTTATATATTTTTACAGTGATCACATTACATCTTATTTTTCTAATGGCAGGGTTCAGAGAATGTTTAGAATCGACAAAAATGCTATTCAAATAAAACAAAGATTAAGACCATCAATTCTTTATGAAAAAATTCTTTCATCTTCTTCACTACCCACCATCTTCAGCACTCCATGAAGCAGAGGCTGAAATCTGTATGAAGTTTTAATAAATAAAACATAGTGAAGTACTGGAAGTTTTTCTTTCTGTTTTCATCACCAAACATTTGAGTCCAGGAGACCTGTGGTAGTCACCTACACTAAAGCCAGCTGACCTGAAGTCCTCCAGGCCTTTACCAGCAATCAGGTGCATCTAGCTAAATATAAACGTGCTTGTGGAGAGACACTGCTTGTAACTTGTGTAATATTTATCACAGACTCAGCTCTTCATTCTCTCTGTCCGATCTCATGGGGCTAGAAAGTTACTTGGAACTTAGAGCTCGGACACAAGGAAGAAGGCATGAAAAGTTAGACCACAAAATTCCTATTCTCATGTGCCTCAGGGCTGCTTCCAGCCAAAGTTTCGAACATGTAGTGAGAGAATATGCTAGAAGAGCTCTTTCTGGTCAAACCCTAACAGTATGTACCCTGGGATTTGCTGCCCCTAAGGAACAGGTGAAGAGCTGCAAATTATAAGGGAGTTCATTTAAGTCCACATAATTTGATGATGAATTTGCCCATGATTATATAACACATAAAGGATTCGAAAGTGCTTTCCTCAAAAAAAAAAAAAAAAAAAAAAGTCTCTGTGGACAAAGACCAAACACTAGAAAAACCCCAACCCCAAAGGTCATCTTTCTCTAAAGTTATACCCCAGCCCCGGCCGTGGACTGGTAACAGTCCGTGGCCTGTTAGGAACTACGCCACACAGCAAGCAGTGAGCGGCAGACAAGTGAGCAAAGCGCTGGCATCACTGCCTCAGCTCCATCTCAGATCATCAGGCATTAGATTCTCATAGGAGTACCAGTCCCTGGTGTCAAAAAGGTTGGGGACCACTGTTCTAGAGGGTGCCCTGCCACCTTCTGGTCTGACACTTAATGAACTTAGGAGTTGTCAGTCTCAATTTCATTAAAAAAAACTTGCTGTGAACTACTCTTCTTAGATCCATCAGAGCCATGAGGTCACAGGGAAAATGGTATCTCCAAAATTAGGAAAGAAAAAAACTGATTGAGATACACCCTATATATTCTGTTCTTAATAAGGCTTATACTCAAAAAAATTTTATTTCATAAGAGTCTAATGCAAAGACAATGAAGAACAAAAAGGACAGAACACAATATCCATAAAGCCTAGGACAACCTTCTTGAACATGAGGATTAAAATACACAAAATGGGACTACCTGAAAAAAAAGAAAGACAAAGAAACAGGAGAGGTAAGTGAAGTAATAATCACTGAAATATCCTAAAATTAATGAAAGATGACACAATGTAGAGCCAGAAATCTCTAAAACACTAAAAATGAAAAACGCCAAAAATGCAAACCCAAGTATATCATATTCAAATTAGACAAAAATCAAAGACAAAGGGAATAAAAGAAGTCAGAGGGGAAAGCAAATGTTATGCTTTTGAGAAACAAAGATTTGAATTAAATTTGAATTCTTTTCAGAAATCATGCAAGCAAGAACAGAGCAGAATACAATACTGAATGTTTTGAAATTAAAAGAAAAACTACGGAATTTTGTACTGAGAAAAACAATCTTTCAAAAATAAAGAAGAAATAAGGACTTTCTGAGGCGAAATTGAGGTAATTTGTCACTAGTATATCTACTTTAAATGAAACATTTAAAAATTCATCTAAAAGTACGTAAATGATAAAAGGTAAAGAGTTAGAGAAGGAAAAAGTGAAGGTAAAATCTTTTGTAGTTCTTAAAATATAAGCAATAATGTATTTGACAATTATAAGTATATGGGTAATGGAAATAAATGACAGCAATGTGACAAGGAAGGGTGAGAGGGGAATTGAGAATAGTGTATGAGGTAGTTGCAGAAATAGTAAAGTGGTATAATGATACTTGACAAAGGATGTGGGTTAGTAGTAAATGTATACTCAATAATCAAGGAAAATCACTAAAAAAGCTTTTTAAAAAATGTGAAAATGCAAGAGGAATCTTAAAATTACATTGCTAAGTGAAAGAAGCGAATCTGCAAGGATACATACTATATGTGATGCTGAGTATATGGCAATGCAGAACAGACAAAATCATGAGCCAATAAAAAGATCTTTAGGTTTAAAAGATTTAGGGGTGGAGGGAGGAATTAATAAATAAGTGGAGCACAGAAGAGTTGTAGGGGAGTAATATCACAGTTTGTAATATAGAAACGATGGATACCCATGATTATACATTTGCCCAAACCCATAGATCCCATGATATAAAGAGTCAACACTAATGTAAATTGTGCACTTTACTGCATCAATACTAGTTTGGGAATTATAACAAACGTACCACAATCATACAAGATGTAAAAAACAGTGCAAACTGTGTGGATGTATGGGTTATATGGGTACTGTCTGTACACTCTCAACGATTTTTCTGTAAACCTAAAATGGCTTTAACAAAACTGAGTCTAAACAGGGAGGGAGGGAAGGAGGGAAGGAGGGAGGGGGGGAGAGAAGGAAGGAGGGAAGGAAGGAAGGAGGGAAGGAGGGAAGGAGGGAAGGAAGGAAGGAAGGAGGAAGGAAGGAAGGAAGGAAGGAAGGAAGGAAGGAAGGAAGGAAAAGATAAAGGCAGACTCATTACAACTCAGCCCTGATAACTGACTGATGGATGAAACAGGCCACGTATCATTCAATTAATCAGACCTTATGTCAATAAGCCAGCACGGTGCCCTATGAGCCTATGACCAGTACGGAGAAGCTTCCGCAGATGCCCCACGGGAGAGCGGGGTGCTCTGTGTTCTGAGAAGTGATATGGTTACCATCAGCAGAGTCTGGAAGTCCAAGGTGGGTCGGCAGTTTCCTGGTGAATCTGGTTTGGGGGAGCTGGTTGTCATGGAGTGCAGACAAGTGTTACCTAGAACTACACGTGGGGTGTCTCAGTCAAGACATCCCCAGAGTTCTTTTACCACAAAGGGGCTGCTCAGACAACGGTCCAAGGGCCTGTGAACATAGGCAGATGGGGACAACTGTGGGCCAGCGGTAAGATGACTGCTGGATGTCTGGGGAGCTGTGTGACCCTTGGGCTCAGTCCTTTATCAGGAATGTCCCAACGAAGGGATGAAGAGCTGCAGCTCTGCACTGCGCTCCCCGACGTACGAGTGTGTGTGGTCCTCCTGAGAGTCTGCCCTCCCCAGGGCCAGGCGCTCACTGAGTCCCTAGGAACAGCCCAGGGAACCCAGGAGCCTGAGAGAGGGGCGACCTCCTCCAGCACTGTAGCTTCTTTCAAGGGACTGGACTAAGGATGGTCACCCCTCCTGCAGGTGGCACAAGCCGGAGGGCCAAGGGCTGGCTCCATCATGTCACAAGCAGGTGTCAGCCGCCTTGTTGAGCATAGGGAGCTGTTTCCAGGGCCGAAGGCACAGGCCCCTCAGCAGCAGGTCCTGTGCTCAGTGCTTATGACAGCCTCTGTTTCAAAGAGGATCCAGCACGTGGTGAGAACTGCGGCTCCGATGGCATATAGTGTGGGGCCCGGGACAGTTTCTTAATCAGAAGCCTAGGGACAACTGAAGGCCCTCCTCCAGAGCCTCACGTCACTGCCAACAGAGTTAGAGGCCCCAGCATGACAACCAGTTGCTGTAGAGAGTAAGTACCCTGGGCTTAAGCAGGGCTTGAACTGATCCCTTTGCTGTGAAACTGAAACCACTGTGCTGTCCACTGTCACCCACAGCGTCAGAATCTTTGCTGCAACAGATGCGGGGGCAGCCACATTACCGAGGGGTCCTGCTGGGCCCTCTGGAATCTTGCCACGTATTGGCTGCCGTCCCTGTCTGTCTCTTCTTTTGTTCTCCCTGAAATAAACGCTCTTTAAGGAGTGACCATCGATGGGCTCACCTCGTCTACAGAGTATAATCATCCTCTACCCCCCAAGGCCTCTCCCTAATGTCTGGGCAAACCCAACCTCAGTCACACCCTCACTTTACACACACAGTAGGGTTCCAGCTAAACCACTGGCCCAGGACGACTGTGAGGGCTCCATTCCCATACTCTGCTCACAAAGGACAAAGAATTTCCAAAATTGCCAACTCAGAGTCCTGGGTATACAGACTCCAGGCTCAGTGGGTCCACGACACAGCATAAGGCTGCACAGCCCACAGGAGGGCTCCCTCGCAAGCAGCAGCTCAGTGTGGGAGGCCTCCAGGTCCTCATCAGCCTGACAGATAATAAAGCACTAGGGGGAAAGGAAGGGGTGGGGATTACGTTAAGTAAAAGAACATCAAATATGGGGATTCTGACCACTCATGACAACAACGAACATGGGTAACAAAAGTAGGCATTCACACTGGTTTGTTTTTATGTAAAGAAACACTAACGGGATCATCAGGAAGTGATCAACACTGGTCATTTGACTGTGAATCTAACAGGAGCACAGGAGTGGAGCAGACATGTGGGCAGGGAGTCTTTTTAAGTTAGTTTCCTCTCCTAGAAATTCCTTAAACATTCTAATGCATTATTTGTTTAAAATAAGGAGAGAAATTTATGTATACTGCATTTTCATATGATTGATAATTATTTTAAATTAATTTTTGCTTTTAAAAATAATTTCTCTTTCCATAAGTAACCACTCCAAGATTTAATCCTTTAAACACTAAATGATATAAAAGTTCAGACCATTAAAAAAACTGACAAATCCCTTTCTAAAAGGACAAAAAGCATTATGACAGTTTTCTATTATATTTCATAATGAGGATATTTTCAGGAACGAGTTAGCGGTTTGCAATTAAGCTTTGAAATACACTAGAAATTTCAAATATTTACATGAGCTTTGAGGTGTTTTTCTCTTATGAATGAAAATAAAAATTCTGTTGGTTTTTTTTCCTCACATCCATTAAAATAGGAGTTCATTTGCCTTAGGAATAGTATATCCTTTTCAATGTCAAAGTTCTCTAGAGATCTGAACATAGAAACAATGACCTAAAATGATAAATCATCTGAGAATTTAAAAACACCTTTCTGACATTTTCAGGTTCTTTTACCTAAATTTTCTGGCCTTATATGGTATCTCTCAATCAACTTACATTTTAAAACACCAGATGCTAATGGACACTAGAATCAAAGGGCTGTAATATTTATTTAATGGAGAAAATTCAAAGGAAAGAAACACAAACACTGGAGTCAAAACACATCAGAAGGAAACCTGCATTCAAAAAGGTGAATGAATATGTTCCCACACTTGGGGTCTAGACAACCCAGGGTGAGACAGAACCTCTGGAGTGGGTCAGTCCTGGGGAAGGAGGGGAGGGGGACACCTGAGCATCCCCAGGAATGAACTCTGAGAGCTCCAACACCCCACCTCCCTCAGGCTTCCATTCTCATTGAGGAAACTCAGCCTGATTCAGTCTGAGTTCTGATCCAAATGAACTCCCCAACTCATAAACCTTTTGTCCACGAGACAGAACCCCTAATCTTCACAGGCTTCTCTATATGCACAAATTACACTGACTGTAGATAGAAAACTCAAACATAAGATATAAAAATGTCTAACCCTAAAAAAACCACAGCTACCACCTCAGAATGTGCATCATCGTCCCCTCCCCCATTGTGCACGTGCACCCCAGCTTTCCTGGGCTGCAGCTTCTCTCAGCGTAAAGGCTCCTGCACAGTAGGTGGGAGCAGGGAGGACACCTGCAGGGGGAGCCTCCCCAGGAAGAACCACTAGGCCTGCAAGTGCTTCCCTTTGCAGGTCAAGGGGGCCTTAGCTTGAATCATGGACCTCAGGTCTCTGCTCCCCACTGGAGTTACTTTGGAAAACGGGTGATACTGTAAATGACACAAACCCAACATTTGAACAATCCAGCAAAATCACTCAAATCCAGCATTTATAGTGAAAGAAAGAAAATTTTAAGGTTCTCTTACTAGTTCCACTAGAAAACCACAAATATCTATTCTCTTCAGAAAAAGATGTCAGTTAATTATATATCTAAAAAAAAAAACTGGTTGGTAATCATACATGTCTGCTCTGCAAATCTAAATGCTTGAATTTGACTTTTGAACACCCGAAACTAAAAAAAACCAACTTCAGAAATTTACTTCACCGTGCTCAGGGGAAGAAAGTGAAAGAATTCTACCCAAAATAAAATGTAATCACGGAATTTATTATTTTTTTTCTAAAATTTACCTGTACTTTGCTTCTTTGAGACTATTTTATATCTTCCGAGCTCTATCGATTAAATACATTTTAATCCTATTGAAAATGGACATTTAAAAAAGTCAATAAATCTTTTCAAGGTGTCAAACCCAGGGAGCGTGTGCTCACGGGACAAAACGCCCAGGAAAGTTTCCAAACAGGAACCTCCGTCCAAAAGACTTCCCACAGGACGTCTGTGCCCACGGAAGATCCTGGGGAAGAGGTGCAAGGATTTCAAGCAACGGACTTCCAGGTGATCATTCTTCCCTTCCCTCTCATGTAAAATGTCCACAAAAAATATATATAAATCTCTAAAAAAGGGCCATCCATAACTGAGAAAAGGATAAACAAAATATTGGGTCTGTTTGAAATAAACTACGGAGGATAAACAAGCTGATAATGAAGTAGGCTTGAGAATTCGAGGAGGGATCTGGAAATTTAGGGACTTACTCCCTGTCAGTCCCAGGAAGAGACAGGCCAGGGGCAGAGAATGGTGGATCTGAGACCCTGCTTCCCAAACACTGGGAAAACTCAGGAGAAAACAGTCCCCCTGGGGAAAAAGAAGAGGCTGAGGACCCCAGAGACCACAGCTCCTCCCACGCACGAACCCCTGTGACGGAGTCACGATTTTCTCCTTGATGACCCTCCCCGTGGTCACCGCACCATCTGGGGAGAGAGGCTGCGGGGCCGAAGTCGCTGCGCGCCGTGGGGAAACAGCACGCCCGGGGTCCCAGCTGTCGGCCCAGCCCCCACGCTGTGTGCCGGAGGGGCCTGAGGTCCCAGCGGGGGCCCCCGGGCACTCGAGTCCGCAGACTCGAGAGGGCCCGTGCAGAGGCCGGGTCCAGCCATTGCCGATTCCAACCGGTTCTAACCAGCCCCTCGTCCCCGCCTCCACACCCCGGCCCCACACTCACCATTGCTAGGTTTCCTGGGTCTCCCTGAGTCCTGCCTAGACTCCCACGACACAGCACGACAGACGGGGTGGCAGAGCCACTAATGACCAGGAATGACAGAGGACACCAGACCCTCAGGCCCGCTGGAGCAAGCTGGGGCGTCCACAACTTCCCGTTACCTCGCCCCACCCACAGGGGCGCTCCTGATTGGACAGTTTTCAAGGCTGCCTCCTTGTGCCTGAGTGACGGTGGATGTGAGGACCCCTGACTCAATGAAACCAGGCTCCACTGGGCCGCTGGCACTGAGGCCACCAGTTTCATTTCATTTAAACAGAAATTTTTCCTGGCCGGGGGCAGCTTCTACTGTTTTCCCCGAGCTGTTTGCAACCGGGAGGGCACTGCAGTGTGCAAGGAATTCCTGACTGAGTTTCCAAGTGGAGCTAGTAGGTACGGAGCGGGAGGGCAGTCTGGGCCAGGTCACAATAAAACAAGAGGGTCTCATGCCCTCTAGGGATCAGGGACTTGGCTAAGGTTGTAAAGCCACTCATGGAACTTAAGTTTAGAAACTCACTTAAATTTGACCTCACTATCTATAATAAGGAGTCTGGCTCCATTTTAATCTTTGATCCTTGCAACCCTTGAGCCTTCCACTCATCTCTTCCCCATTAATGTAGGGAAGAGGCAAGAGAGCCAAAATGTTAAATCAAGTCATATTCAGAGACTGCAATATCCTGATTAGCACTGCAGCCAGACCGAGAGGAAACTTGCCAGATAAAAGAAGATGTCTGCAGGGATTGCTAACAACCCATTTCCCCATACCATGATGGGGAAACAGGAAAAAACAGAATCTTTAGCTGACACAGTAAACAAAGTAAAATCATTCATTCTCTATGCCTAAACCATGGGGAACCTGTGGATCACAGTCTGGGAATTGCCAGCGGGCCTTTCACACTACATATTCTTACCTTTTCATGCTACGTACTTATATTCTTCCTCGCTGTATGTCCATATCAAAGGAAAATGAGTAAACAAAGTCTTTATACTAACTCACAAGAACTAAAAACATATATAAACTGGTTCCTCTGACACAGGAGGGCTTTTCCCTTGTCTAGGCTTTTTGTCTTTGCTTTCTCACATCTTTTTTTATCTCTTAGCTTTTCTCCTTCTCTAATAAACTTTTCTTTTGACTCTAACTTTGGTGTGTGTTTGAATTACTTCTTATGCTCCACCAAGAACCCTCTTCTCTCTCAGTGCAGGACTTGAGCAACCCCAGGATTGTATGTCAATTAACAATGTTCCTTATGCCACACACAGACTAAAAGGAAGGGGATGGAAAAAGATAGTGCCTTGATGGACCTAGAGGGTATTACGCTGAATGAAATAAGTCAGATAGAGAAAGACAAATATCACATGATTTCACATACGTGCAGAATATAAAGAAGAAAATAAACAACAACAAAAATGGAAACAACCTCATAGATACAGAGAATATTTTGAGGGCTATTAGATGTGAGGGGATTTGGGGGGAACGACAAACAAGGGCAAAGGGATTAAGAAGTGCAAATGGATAGTTACAAAATAGACATGAAGACATAAAGTGTAGTATAAGGAAAATAGTTAACAATGTGGTAATAAATATGTAAAGGGGAAGAGGTGTTCTAGATTTAGTGGGGTGATCACTTTGTGAGTTATATAGGTCTCTAATCACCATGCTGTATGACTGAAACAAATACATCATTGTATGCCAACTATAATTGAAAAAAACTCATTGAATTGTACAATGTAAATACAAGAAACTAATAGTGTATTATATTTCAAAAAAGCTGGAAAAAAAAATGGATCCAAACCACACACACACACATAAAATTCAACCCTTTGTGACAACATGGATGGATCTTGGGATTACCATGCTGAGCGAATAAGTCAGACAGCAAATTTGAAAACCATATGATTTCACTCCTGTGTAGATATAAAAAGTGAAAGTAACAAAGAAACATGACAAACAGCGACTCATGGACACGGACAGTGCATTAGTGTTTACCAGAGAGAAGAGGGGTGGGGAGAAATAGGTAAGGGTAATAGGGGTCAAGTATTTGGTGACAGAAGGAAATCTAACTTTGGATGGTGAACACATACTGCAACATATGTACGACATGCTGTTGTATTGTACACTTAAATCTCATTAGATTTTATTAATGTCACCTCAATGATTTTTAATTAAAGAAACCTATACTTAAAAAAAGGTAGAGATGATTAGCAAACATATTGCCACCTAATGCCCCCACCTTAGCATAAAAATAACATATTCAAAGTTTCTGAGGATTAGGATGCAGATATATTTTGGAGTCTCCTATTCTATCTATTATCAATCCTTTTTCGGAAATTTGTTGCCACTCTAAGGCCTTTATTTTAAAAAGTACACAAAACCTTTTTTGGAAGCTTAATATTTGATGCCGTTCAGGGGCCTTTATATTAATCAAGCACAGAATTTATAACAGCTTCTGGAATAAGTGACGACACTATTCATTCAAACTACATACAAATAAAATTTTGGTTCGAAAGTCCTAAAACTACCTACGTCTGACTTTGACACAGAACCACAGTCTGGCTACTCAGAGTCCGGGTCCACAGACTGGGACCTGCAGCATCAAAACACCTGGGAAATGATTTGATTTTCAGAATCTCGAGTCCTCCAGGACCTGATAAATCAGATTGTGCATTTGAACTAGAATCCTGGGTGACTAAAATGCACTCTGAAGTTGGAGAAGTGCTGGTCCAGACTAGATTTTCTCACCTTCTCAGTTAGACACAATTACTTGTGTTGGGTGTTGTAGGTGTTTAGTAGCCTCCCTTCAGACGTGGCCAAACAGCCCAGGGGCAACGTCATCTCTGATCTGGAAACACGGGCCAGAGGTTAAAAACTGGAAGTTTCCTGACAGAATTATAATTAATACCTATTCCTTACTCCGATTACGACTTCGAGCATATCTGTAAACTCTCACGCCCCATTTCTGCAAAGTGAAATGGAGTTCGTAATGGTACTATCTCACAGAATGGACTTTCTGAAAAATTACATCAATGTTTATAATATGCTAAGCTCAGGTTATACGGCATAAAGGTCTCAAAATGTATCTCTCGTAATTAACAAATATTTTATGATGAGGCACTAAACTCTTACCTTGTGATACAAGTATGAAATCCTTAATTTTGATAAATGTGTCAGGAAGCCAAAGAGTGTGGTGCCCAAGATTGCATATCAAAGGAACCCAGCTCTCCCCTTGTTGTAGAGGGAATAGCAATTCTCCGGAGACCTCGGACTGTGTCCCAACACAAATCAAAGCTTTAAAGGACAAAGGAACTTGTTCCTGACAGATT